AGTCGAGTCGAGTCGAGTCGGATCGAGTCGAAAGTAGCGAGCTTTTCGAGCGTCTCGCATGGATTCCACGCCCGAGACGCGTCCCCCTCGTCGAACGCGATTTTTTTCTCCCCGGAGAAATTGTATTATATATATATCGAACACGAATGTGCGTTGTGTGGTTGAATGTACGTAGACCGAAAATCGGACATCTATGTAGCGTTATGTATAAAGGCGCGAGAAGATTTTTGTATAAAAAAACGTGTACATAATTAATATATATGCATATATATATATATATATAAAAAATACAGATATAAATACGATTATAAATATACGAACGTAAGCGCGAAATATAAACACGTAATATACGTATGAATGTAAAGAAATATATATGTCAGAATTACAGTGTCTTGCAATCGTTCAATCGTATATCCAACGAAGAGGAGAGTGTATATATGTATATATATACACACACACGCATACACAAAGGTAAGTCTGGAGAGAATGAAAAATCGACGATACCACCTCCCCCCCCCCTTTCCTTTCCCCTTCCTCGGACGAGCTAGTTCGAAGGAGAAGTATGGCACTCTAAGTATTTTCGAGCTAACAACCATTTCCGAGCATTCCTGCACGAACGTATTTCAATATAAACAATCGCCGGGCGAATTTCCCTGGGCGCACGGCAGCGCGGCGGCAGTGATTTCTGGCCGACGTGACGGCGATGCCTTCGTCTGCGAGCGCGACCCCGAGTGCCCTCGCTCGAGGAACGCAACTCGTTTCGATTCTTCTTTAACCTCTCTCCTCCTCCTCCTCCTCCTCCTCCTCTTCGCTCGGTTGTCCGCTCGCCTCGCGGACTGCCACTCTTCCTCCTCTTCGTATGCCTGCCCGAACGCTAAACGTAAGTAAGTAAGAAAGAAAGGAAGAAAGAAAGTAAGTAAAGTAAGTATGTATCCTTGTTTCGTTTCTCTTGGGATTCCTCGCGGTGACGGAGCTTTCGCGGAATTTTCAAACTGTACCGAGACGAAAATCCAGAAGAAATTCCAGAAACGTTTCGCAGGTGTCTGCCGGTATATACGGAGTTCGGAAGCGTGGCGAGCATCGCGCGTTCTACGAGGAGAACGCATAAAACGGGGATAAATCACGCGAAGGATGCCGAGTTGGGCTAGGGCGGAGAAGCAAAAACCCGAGTGCGAGAGAAAGAGAGATCGGTGGCGTGGAGCGCGGAGAGCCTCGACGAACCAGCCGGATGCTTAGAATTTCGATAAATCTAACTTGGCAGGAGAAACAAACGGCCCAGTGAGAGACTTTTTTTCCGTCCGATCATCGTCCGCCGTTTTTGGCTCCCGTTCAAAAATCTCGCTTCTTTTTTCGTACCCTCGAATCCGTATCCTGTGCACGCGATACGTAAACGAATAATGGGCGATAGACGGACGAAATTAACGAGAGCTCGATTCATCGAGAGGAATTAACGCGAGAACGGGATCGAGGGGAGGGGAGAATCGCGATATCGCCCGACTCACGGTTACGTCATCTTCTATCACCGTCCACCATCCGCTATCGACGATATCGACGAGAACCGCCTCTCTCCGCCGCCCCGATCGAACTTAACTTTCGAGTAAACAGCCATTCTTACTGCTGTCTTTCTCCAATCGTTATGCGACTCGACCGCGTAACGCGATAACGACTGCTCGATACATAAGTAACATCGATCATAACGCGTACGATGAAATCGAAAAGTCGAGTTTTAATTCGCGATGCCTCGAATTCTGATCAAAAATGGCCACCTTACGAACCGTATACCGGTGAAGAACACCCATCGATCAAAGATTACGCGGCTCGTCAAACCGACTTCCGTGTCCGTGTTCCGTTTCTTGATGGAGTAATGCGCGTTCGTTGTGTTTCAATTGGTAGCCGCGGCCCACACGCGACTCGCGATTCGTTCGATCGAGCCTTACCTCGCCCCTGTCGCGGTGAGGACGCGTGAACGCGACGAACGAGGCCGTTTTTAACGAGCTCGCGCGCCTACCCCGTACACGCGGTCCCGCGTAAACGAGAGGCGGAGCAACCGCTTCCAAGAGGTCAGAGGCCACTACCAATCGCAATCTCCCGATAACCACTCTTCTCACTGGCTCCTCTCCTCGGATCAACGCTGAAGCGCCACTTTTTTCCTTTCTATTTACACGTACCGAGGATGCGTGGACGCATATGCGCCGCCTTCTCCTTTCCTCCCTTTCCCACCTATTCGCGTCACTTTTTCCTAGGATACGCTGTTTTTTCATCAATTGTCGTAATCCGTAATAAGGCCGAAAAACCTAACCGGATCTCAACTCGAAGGACTATTCGTCACAGGAATCGATCTCGTCGCGGTTCTCTCTTCGACTACCTCGACCGTTGCGATAAACGATGTGTCGCGACATTCGCATAATCGTTCGATTTGTACACGTCATTCTTTCGCTCGTAACAATTTTCGTCGAAGCGATGTTAAAAGTTTCGCGTATGCCTTTCGATTTCCTATCGACTATGTTTTACACGGAAAGAATCATTTTTTTCTTTTTTTTCACTCACGTTGCATGCTATTTATGTATATATACGTGTGCTTTTAACTAATCGTTTCTTTTCACTACATGACTATTTGAACTACGTAACAATAGAACTATTGAACTACGGAATCACGTATCTTCGTTTCATTGTTTTATCTTCTTTAAGTGGTTTTTCTTCTTTCACAAATGATTCATAGGTAAGTACGAGCCATCCAAATAAAAATAAAAATTTTGCTTGTTCTTGTCATTTTTTTCAACTGAACATATGTGTGGAATCGGAACGAAAAATATCGCGGCATTTTGTGAAACTTTCTCCGATTATCCTATTAGCGCCATCGTTCGATCAATTTTTGAATCTCTTACGTCGTAGTTAAAACCAATAATATTGTATATATACTATCGATATCATTCTGTGAGTTTCGATTTGATTCGGTCAAGGAGAATCGATACTGTTTTGATATTTAACGAAAATATCGATACATGAGTTCGATATTGAGAACGATACGACGATAGATATTAATACGATGTTAACGATCACGAACATGTTTGATTCCAAAGTACACGTCAGAAAATTACGTAAGTAAGTAGATATTTGTATATCACATATTTACTGTAACGATTTACGATTGTTTATAGTTGACAAATGGAAAATATTTTTGTTTCTTATTGATAGAATTTTATAAGTGGCCTTTCAAATTCTGAGTTGTCAACTCGGTATTTTAATGTAATATTTTTACAAAATTATAATAAAATATTCAAATTCATCGTTACCATTTTATCTTTTGCAAATATATATGATTGTAATTATATTCGATGTAAAGCACATATAGGTTAAAACATCATGGTGTAAAATCATGAAAAAAATTCTTCGAGTATTCGTTAGATAAAATAAATTTTAGTAATTTATAAAGTTAATATAATACATCAAACTATATAAACATTTATAAGTATTACTTTTCGAAGATAAATAATCAACCGTTTAAACCAAAATATTAACAAGTTCGAATCAAATATTTTTTATTATTTTTTAGGTATAGATTATTTATACATTAAACCATTATTTCTTCCATTTAACATTCATTTATTCAACATTC